GGTCTCCCATTGAGTAATAGCCACCAAGTGAAAGCCTCTTTCTTTGCTCCCTCCCCACACCCACTGAACCACCATTCTTGTTGCATTTTACGTTCGCTGGCTGAACGCTTTTGATGGCTTTTTTGGGGTCCCTGCCCAAACGTCCGCCTGTCCGTCGTGTGTTGATGCTGATGACAGCAGAAGACGAGAGAGAGAGAGAGAGAGACATCTTCGTTGACGTGCGGGGCCCGGCCCGTCATGATGAAGTTGTCGTTCATCGCAAATGATGAAACCAGGAGCTACGGCCTGGGCCCTGAGCCCGGCTAGGGGTATGGGCTGCTCTGCTCGTTAACTTTCCTTTAAGTCAAGTTGCTTGACAATCTTCCCAGGCAGCCAGGGAGCAGCCAACAGCAGGGGAGCCAAGAACCAAGAAAAAAAAGTGTTATAAATTGCATTTAGTGTCGGGGCACGTCATTGCTGATTTGTTATGGCTGCCACAGGGTAACGGACGGGCTCCAGGCAAAAGGTCAACCTCAAGGCATTAACAATGGCTTCTGTCTATGGTCCCCTGCCTCTGCCCTGCCTGCCTCCCTGCCCCCTCCCACTAGTTGCAGATCAGATCGGATCCTCCTGCTCCAGCTCCAGCTCCAGCTGCTGCTGCTGCTGCTGCTCCCCCCGCTGCATATGCAAATTGTGTGTGTTTGGAAATGATGCGATGCGTTCTGGAATTTGGAATTGTTTACAAATTTCCTACAAAACGGCTAGGCGGGCCAGGAGCAACCGATAGAGAGGGGGGCGCAGAGCAACAGAGAGACACACAGTTGGAATGGCAGGCCTAGATATGCTAAAATAAAACTCCAAGTCATAAACTAAAGACTTTGTTTACAAATTAAATGCAGCATGCAACAAGCGACATCTTCATCCACATCCACAGATGCACAGGGAGACAGGGAGGCAGAGAGACAGAGAGAGACCCAAAGACTGTCCATGGGCATCCTCTGTCTGTCTGTCTCCGCTGTCCGCTGTCCGCTGGTAGATATGCGACTACAGATACAGGATGGGCTGCTCTGCTGCTCGGCTGCTTATGAATGCGATGGAGACTCTACACACTCCATTCCCCCGTCCCACCAAGCTCCTCCTGGGCCTGCTGCTCCTGGCGCTTGGGTGTGATGTGTCCGTCCCACTGTCTGCTGCTCTCTGCTGCTCTCTCTTGCTGCCCCTCCCAGGACTTTATGCCTACGGTATGCAAAGCAGTCCGGCCACGGCACAAGGCACAGTCCAAGCCCCAGCTACATGTGTTTTACATGAATTTTAAATGATATGTTAAATAAAAATGCGCAGCTAAACAGCCCAAGGCACCGCCGACCAGGAACAGCAACAGAGCAGCAGCAACAGCAGCAGCAGCAGCAGAAGAACCAGCAACCACAGTGACTGCGACGAGTGCGTGGACACCACATGAGCACTGAGCATGTACAGATGCACGCAGGGGGACACACACACCACACGAACAGTGGGACACAATTGAGGCAACTTTGGGAGCCACCTTCGGGGTGAGAAATAATCTGAGAAATAATTAAATTTATGCATCCTAATGTATTGTCATGGAATCATACATATATATCATACTATATACATATTACTCTATGCACAGATTTCCTGTAAAACTCCCACAAATTGCCACAATTTTTGTAAATTAAATACCACAGAATTCTTGATTATAAGTCCTTAAGGATATTACGAAAATTAAGCCAGTAATTATTAGCATAAAGATAGCTGAAACTCTGAGCAGTAAACCTCAGGGAACGTTTTACTCATTTTATTTTATTAATTATTTAATTAATAAATAAATAATAATTAATATCTATTAATATATTTATTCAATTATTATTAAATTATTATTATTAGATTATTAAAATAAATATATAATAATTAATATCTATTAATATATTTATTCAATTATTATTAAATTATTATTATTAGATTATTAATAATATAATTATAATCTATATATATATGTTACTATTAAAAATCAATTATTATTAAATTATTTATTATTTATAAATAAATAATAATTAATATTTATTTATTTATTTATTTTTTATTCCAATTTTTCTACTAATGTTTTAACTTGCCTAAATTATCTCCCAGAACTAAAAGTATTTGTTCTAAATTTAGTAGAAAAAACTGAGTGCCAGCAGAATATTCGTGAATGGCATTTTCCTTGTGGTTCATTCATATACGACAGGCATAGCAAACAGTTCATAATTTGCATGCTTTTATTTGAAATATTTGCAAGCTTTATGACTGCATGCTGACCCACTGTGCGGCAGGGGCTTGGTGGGTGAGTGGGCAGGGGGCTGGGTCTGGTAGTGGTACTGGCACTGGCACTGGTCCTGGTGTAAAACCTGGCCGAAAACTATGCAAAGTTTATGCGAATCTAAAATATTTGCACTGGGCATGCGCATGCGCAGCAAACTCAATTGTTCAAATACATTTATATACTCGTATATATAAAATATATCTTAAATGCAGGCAAAAGTGCAGGGAAAAGCAGCAGCAGCAGCACCCAGAGGGAGAGGGTAGAAAACTGGGCGCTGCTGCACTGCGGCAGCCAACGGCATAGACGGAGTGCGACTTGGACTTGGACTATTGGATGCCGCTTGGCCGCTTGGCCGCTTGGCCGCTGCCTCCTGATGCTATCAATTCAAAGTCAAATGGGGGGACAACAAAACAAATCGGCGCTGCATCTATAATGAGCCAGAGACAGGCCCAGGCAGAGGCTCGACCAGGGCAAGCCCAGGCAAAGGCAGTGCGGCCAGGCCCCAAGACGGAATTGATGAGAGCAGAAGACCATATGGCCAACGGGCGCAGGTTCAGGTACAGGCACAGGCACAGCTACAGGATGGGACGGGCCAAAGTTTTGACTTGCATGTGCCTCATTGAGTTGTACTTCTGCCACCCCCCACACTCCCCCCCGTACGGGCCCAGACCCCGGCACGAACAGGCTATAGGGACACCCACCCAACACACGAACGCATTGCCCAGGGCCCTCAGCCAAGTGGATCGCATTATTCCAGTTCTTAGTCGTAGTCGTAGTTGGAGTTGGAGTCCAAGTCCATGTCCCTGGTCTCTGGTACCCTTTCCCCTCACCGCACTCCCTGCACTGATTGCAAAAATTGTTGAATGCCGCACAATTGAATGCAATGGCCCGGTCGCGGCTCCATAAATGTCTTTATTATGATCCTGAGTAGTTTAGGCCAATTTGTAGACAAGCAACTGACAAAAGCCAGGGCAGGGACAGCTGCTCTGGGACTAGGGCCAGCAAATCGAAGCTATGGATCACTCAGCGCTATAGCCGGAGCTAGAACTAAAGCTGGAGCTGCAGCTAGAACTAAAGCTGGAGCTGCAGCTATAGCTATGGTATCTCCAGTTCTCCCTAGCTGACTATATTAATTTCATAATTATTTGTGCAGCTTTTTTGCACGCTGGCATCCCTTGATTACTGTCAGAAATAATCATGGAATTGTCTAGCCCGAGCAGCAGCACAATTGATCCTGATCTAATCGGCCATTCTGTGGGTCACCAAGCAGCTCTGCTCCAGCCACAACTGCAGGCAAAATAACTGTGCCAACACACCCAACTGGAGGCCCGACTGGAGGCTCGACACCTACAGTACAGGGGGCAAAGGGGCAGCCAGATAGACAGGCAGACAGGCAGACACCAAGGCACAAACGAGAGGCAGAGCCACAGAGCCAGAACCAGAGCCAAAAACAATGAGCTGAAAGTCGAGGCAGACGAAGGCAAATCAGGCATTAAATTGCTCATGTGGCGGCCGACAATTTCTTTAAACACAGAGTTTTGGCGCTGGTTGGTGTAGTCGGGCCGCGTTGGCTTGAGTTGGTAATAGAAAAGGATTTGACTCGATTGAACACCCGAATTTGCAATTTTCGAGTTAGGCCTCGGTTGCGCCCCCCATAACGTGGCGATGGCGAGGGCGGGGCGGGTCGGGGCAACAAACAAAAATGTGGTGGGCGGTGAGCTGAAATTATAGCCTAAGCTCAAGCAAGTGGAAGAGGCAGACAGACAGACACACAGACAGACAGACGAAGGTTCTTTTTTTTTGTTTTTTCTTGTTTTATTATTTTTTTTTTGTATTTTTGGGGCCATCTCCTGGCTAAAGCACTTAACACGTCAACACGGTCGCTGGCGCTGTTTTCCCAAGCCCAAAAGGAAAAGCCAAACAGGGGCAGCAGAAGGGGGGGGAGGCGGTAGTGGGGCAGATTTGATTAAGGCAAAAACGACGCTGGGTTGCTCTCTCTCTATGCAGGAGGTAGACACAAAGAGCAGATCAAACCCCAAGGAAAACTTAAATATTTTATGGAGAAAATTATTTAAAAATATTTAAAAATAATGCCAAATATAATTGTTTTATATTAGAAACAAAAATGAGAAGGAAAAGCTAACACTCTGCCAATGCCAAACCCAAAGCCCATCCCAATGGCAGGCTTCACACACTTCCTCTGTTCAGCTGTTCCTTGCGGCCTGCTGGAGTTCTGGTGTCTGGTTCTGGCTCTGGCTCTGCTCTGGCATATCGATAAAAAACAATGTTGGGCTATTTTCCTTATACTGACATGATTACCCACAGCTTACCAGCTGCCGCTGTGGAGCTGCCGCTGTCGAATGTTTTCCGCTGATTGTAGCTGCAAGAGCTGAAAGAGCTGCGAGCTGGTAGCTTGGGTCTCTGATCTGGTCTGGTCTGGTCTGATCAGCTACTCGCATGTTCAATGCCCATATAGATCGATAAGATTGCACACAAGATTGTGCCACAGAGGGAGAGGCAGTGGGAGTGGCAGGCGGCAGGCGGTAGGCGGCAGGCTGAAGCGCTGGCTGCTTGTGTATCGATTATTATCTATTTTGGCAGCAATCGATCGTGATCGATTCGAGGCTAAGTGGAAGCAAACTGCAGCCGAAAAACCCTACGTATATTTATCCAAGTATTCCCTTAGGTTTATGTTGAATTCTTCAATTCGAAAAACTATTCAAAATCTCTCGCAACTTTGCTCCACAATTGAAATAAATTGAGACAAAATTCATCCAACATAAACTTACTTTGTGCTGGCAGTAAGATGTCTTCTTCCACCACCTCCACCTCCACATCCACCTCCGCCTGCCCCTCCGCCTCCACCGACATTGTTGGCTATCGTGAAAATGTGAATCGTTGCATTTCCGATGGCCTTGTTAAGGCAGCCGGTGGCATGGCCATTGGTGCCAGCGTCTCCCTGCTGTTCCTGCGGCGTCGTCGCTGGCCGATCTGGATTGGGGCAGGATATGGCATTGGACTGGCCTATCGTAACTGCTTGAAGGACCTGAAGGAAGTGAAGTTGAAGTTGAAGTGAAGCAGCAGCAGTCCCGCCACCAGACTGCAATGCTCTCTGCTCCGCCAATTCCATAGTCCACCTCGGCAAAGCCTTGCAGGAGGCTTGCGGCGTTGGCTGTGGTTGCAGGTCGAGAAGGGGGTGCCGTCACACGGCTAAAGCTGCTTCAAATAAAGCCAACAAATTACAAAGTTTTCTTTGATTTTTTAAATGGTTTTCGGGGGGAAGCCAGCGATGATTGATCAGCTGTCAAGGGGCTGCAATTATTGCAGATTAATTGAGTCAATTATGATCCACATAATGTAAAATAATCAGAGCAGTGCTCCGCGGCTGATCGCCTAAGCCTGCTAACAATAAATGCTGCAGCAATCCAGCTAAGTAAATATACAAAAAAAAAAAAAATAGAAAAAAACCAAGCCCTAAATTGTTGTATTCGCCGCTTAAAATCCAGTGCCAGAGTGCGATCAGTAATCAGCAATATATTTAATCGAATCGCTGGTATCGACACCTATTTTGCACACAAAACTCATTTCCACAGTCGGTCTTTTATGTTCACCGATCGGATCGGATCGGATCGGAGCGGCACTCCACTCTCCGCGCCAATCGCTGCACCGTTCAAGGGCTCTGAGTCTGAGTCTGAGCCTGAGCCTGAGCTGGAGGCCGCATAAATGCAATCGCCATCTCCGCCTAATACCGTTGGCAGGTCTGGTGCTAATGCGACAAGTCCACAAAAAATAAGCCCAAAACCAGCTTCTTGGAAAGGCAGCAGAGGCAGCAGCAGCATCAGAGGCAGAGCCAGCGAATATTTCGATGCATTGGCAGTGATATGAAGTCGAAGGCAGCGGCGCATCGCATCGCATCGCATCGAATTCAGTTCGCTTCCGAGGCAACGCTACATAATCTGCCTCTCTCCATCGACTCTTGAGCAAGGAGAGCCAGAGCTCGAGCCCGAGCCGGAGCCATTGGCCAGTGGCCAGTGCCACCGCCACAACCACGGAGTAAGAGTCCAAGCTGCGGCTGTAGATTGTGTAGCACGGTCAGCAATTATAATATATACAAAATCCATTACGGTTCACAGGTCAAATGTAGAAATTGAGATAGATCTGGACAGAGTGAGAGACAAGGAGAGCGAGAGACGTGAGGGAGGTGCAGCTAGAGGCTGGATTTGGTTCATTGGCAGCTTTGCACGTTGTCCATCGTCCTCGTCCACAACCTCGTCTTCATCGTCGACATCGTCGTCATCGTCATCGTCGATCAATGCTCAGCCTGTAGCGCCGCAACCCATGCCTATCAAGATATGGAGCCTGCCCTGGTCTGGCTCTGGCTCTGCCCCCTCTCGTTTCGAACGGCAATCGTGATCGACTCGAACTCCAGCCATTGGCTACCATTCCATTGGGGCCCCAGAATTCGGCAGCAATTTTTCTTCTTTTCGTTTTTGTTTTACTTTTTTTGTTTTTGTTTGTTTTTTTTTTTTGCCATTTTAGCAGTGGGGCCTAGGCATACACGATATCCGATGCGGCGACAGATTCGTTTTGGGCAGCTACGCAGCCAACAGGCTAGAGATGAGCAAAAGTAAGCTGCCATTCGGATTGGATTCGCAACTGTTGGAGTCAGTGGAACGTGCACTTGAAATTTGGAACTTATTTTACATCACTTAAAAATGTTGGAGCTGCATGGAAGTGTAGAAGTTTAAGGCGTTGCTCTGAGAGTGTCAATTATGCCAAATATCCCTGTTCATTGCATTCGTCTCTCCCTCTTGTGATTGGGATTTCGGCAATTGCGACATGCTCACACGCACACGCTCGTTATCGTTCGCCTGTTCTTTTCTGCTCGACGAATGCTGTTCCAGTAGTTCCAGTAGTTAAGCTGCATTTGCCCAGCACTAGCCATGGCCAATTGTTCAGGCTTCAGGCACACACAAACACAGAGGCATACGAGTGCCCCTCGTAGAGACACCGAGGCCTAGACCCGGCCCGGCCCGGCCCGTCCCGTCCTGTCCCGTCCTGTCCGTGGCATTGCCACTCGAAGCTCTCTCGGTCTCCACGTTTAATAAGCAATTTTGATTTGGAGCAGATTATGTGACGACCGAACGAGCGGCAAAGGACTGCGCACTGTGCGCTGGGTGCTTGCAACTAGTTGCATGCCACGGCTGCCGCTTGGCTACCGCGCTGAGAGAATGGCGCGGAGACCGGACTTGGACTTGCACTTGACTTTGTCGCTGACCCGCGCAAAGATTTTTAACTTCAACTTGTTGCCTTTCTGGCTGCTCGCTGCGGCCTCTGCGGGGTCTGCGGGGTCTACGATGCTGATACTGTTTACATGGAACTTGTACTGATTGCTTCTAGTCATGCCCCCGATTTGGAGATTTTCAATTTGGTGATAAGCTCCGCAGCATCAGCTGCAGGCAACAGGCTGCAGGCTGCAGGCTACAGGCTGCAGGCTACAGTTCTCGCAGAGCTCATTTTCGTTGGAATTGCTTGAATTTTTATTGAATTTTAATTGGCCGTTGAAGGATGTGTGTTCGAAGTTCGAAGCTGCGACTCACACTGCCTTGGGTGTCAACTTTGAACCCAACGAAAAGCTTAAACCTTTAAGCCAACATGTGCCTGATGGGCAAGCCCCAGCCCCAACCCTTACCCTTACCCTTACCCTTACTCCGCACAGAGTGCATGCCAAAAGCAGCCACGAAATGGGAAAGGTTCCCAAGAAAATTTAGATCAATTTTCCTAATTTACTTGAGCTTCAGCGATTGCGTGTCGTGGCGTGAAAAACGGCACTTGAAAAACGGTTGGTGGGGGGGTACGAAAAAATTCCTTAACCGCAAAAAATACTACAACAAAAAACAAAAAAAACAGACCCAGAAGAGAAGACTCGCAGCAGCAGCAGGAGAAGGAGAAGGAAGAGTGGGCAAAGAAAAATAAATCACGACTCAAGTTTCGAAAGCGCGAAACTGTTACCAAAGCACTTAAACTTAAATTGGCCAAAGCGACGACTCTCGGCCGAACATTCGGAACATGGTAAGCTGAGAAGAGGCTGAGAAGAGGCTGAGAAGAGGCTGCGAGGCTGAGCTCTACGCTGCTGATCTACTCGTACCCAGAGATGCCACCAGTTGCCCCGTACGGCTGGGCAGCGGATGGGTGGTGGGGTGGGGAGTGCAGTTCTAAATTAGAAATAGTGTAGATAGATACGCCAATAGAATTTATAGCGACTCGCTCTCGCTCTCTCTCTCTTGCTCTTCTGACTGCGTTCTGCGTTGCCTCGTCATGATCATGCCCTGGTCAGGTTAATTTTGGGCACGACCAGCCAGCCCATGTAGCCCATGTGGATGACGATGACGATGATGATGGCAACGCACGAAGGCAGAAAGGTACTCACTGCTCATTCCTCTTGCTGCTGCTGCTCCTGCTGCTCCCCCACTTCTACTTCTACTTCTACTTCTATTTCCAGTGCTACTCTGTGGTGGAGGCTCGAGAAACGTGCTCATGGATCGCAGCTTAAGTTTAATGGAACCAATTGAAGATATTTTGTGGGCAAGTGATAAAGTCGTATGCCCAGTTGGTGGGTGCCTTCTCCGCTGCCAACCTGCTGCTGCTGCTGCTGCTGCTGCTGCTGCTCTCCTCTGATCATGGCCTGTTGCATTTTCCATCAACAACTTTGGAGTTGCCAGTTGCAAGCTGCAAGCTGCAGCCTTGCTTCACGAACCCATTAAATGATGCGTAAGAAGCCCAACGTGATCATGCGTCAGGTCAGAGAGGGATGTGGGGGGCAGATCACACGATGCTGATACGCAGAGAGGAACCAAAAGCAAAACCAAAACCAAAACCAGCAAGAAATCAGCGTGAAAATTGCCCACTGCCACAGAGAGTGAAGTGAACCCTGCCACCTACCCATGCCCCGGATACCCACCCACCCCATTGCTGAGTTATGTGAAAATTGCGGAAGAATTTCGTGCGGCGGCTTGTTAGTGGAAGTGCAAGAAGTAAGTAAGGAAAACCCAAACCCAAACCAAACCAAAGCAAAGCAAACTCCCGACTAAACTAAAGTAAACCAACATTGGAGCCAAGTCCACAGTTACAGCCACAGCCGCAGCCGCAGCCACAGCCAATTGGGCAGCAATCAGTGAGGGGTTGAGAGCGTGAGAGCAGGGGGTGTGAGTGGGCGAATAGGAGCAATGGGAAGTGGTAAGTGGGTTAGGGGGTAATTCCCCCCTAAAAACAAAACACACACAAAAATTTTCCTGCGCTTTTCCACTATATTTAAATGTAAGAAGAAACTGCTGAAAATTGTTTTATATTTCGATATAATTTTGTCTTTTTGTATGCGGGAAGGTGCATTGGGTAAGTGCTATAAATCTTGCCAGAAAATGATATTGAAACTTACAATTTTTCTCTTAATTCAGAAACTGTCTTAAGGCAGTGCAAAAATTAAGTTATTTATTATTAAAATTAAGAGCAATAGAAAAAGTTTCCACTGAAATCTAGCAATATATTATACTTACTTTTTTTGTATGTTAACTTAAAGGACTTCACTTATTTGTTTTAATTGGGTTTTTATTTTTTTTGTTTTTATAAAAATTTAAATATATTTTTTATTAAAACTATTATTATTAAATAATAAAATAAAATTATTATTATTTAAATATTTATTATTAAAATTAAGACAAAAAAAATAGAAAAAGTTTCCAGTGAAATCTAGCAATATATTTTACTTACTTTTTTTTTGTGTGTTAGCTTAAAGGACTTTACTTATTTGTTTTAATTTAGTTTGTATTTTTTTTTAAATTTATATTTAAATATTTATTATAAACATTCATAAATATTTATCTTAATTTTTTTCTATAAATATTTATATATCAAATTTAATGGCCTGTAAATGTAAACTTTGTGTGCTAATTTTAGAGTGTTACCTCGTGCATATCTTGACTCTTTTTATAGTTTCCTCTTTTTCTTGCTTTTCTTGCTTCAAGTTTTATTTGTTTTTATTGCTGGCTTGCATTTCTTAGGGAATTTCTGAAATTCGATTTTCGATGATCTTTTGCTTTACTCCGCTGGATGGGATCTCCGCTAAATATCTTGTCAAATGTATTGCCTCGACACCGCCTCGGTGAAATCTTTTTTTTTCAGTTGCTGCTGCCGCAGCTTTACCGCTGCTGCTGCTGGCTGTTGGCTGTTTGTGACGTCACGCTT